TAGAATTTCAAGAAATTTGGCAAAAAAATAATTCAGAAACCACTTGAATGATCTATCGCAAAAAATCTGAATTTTGACATACGGAATTTTTAATAATACAGAACATGGAGTGAAAACGATTTACAGCGAATTACGAAAGTCGCCTATGTCAAAATTTTATTAGAACAGTGTTGACAGAAGGGATTTAATGTCAATTCAGAGTGGGCGAATGATGAAAAAAATCTAATGACTGAATTTTTTTTAAATAAACAAAAACCATTTTTTAAGCCTTGTTTTTAACCAGCCCCGTTGCCATGGTAACAGCACTCACCTTAGCCAAAATGTGAGAATAAACCCTTCTGTGGTTAACCTTAGTCTCTTGCAAAAAACGGGCACCAAAGCATAAATAGCTTTAAAGTAATGGTGAATTAGGCAGAGGCTCTTGAAAACTGTGTTCGGCCACCTTAAGGCAATCCAAAAGAAGGAACGAGAACCATTCGAACTGCACTAACAATGCCTTTAACAAATTACAGTGTCTTAATAGTTCGATGGCAGGATCAAAAGCTGACATGTTTCATTTTTTTACTTGCAAGAAAGGAAAAGTTTTGTAACGAGCAAACAGTTTAAGTGAAAAGCATAATTTCAAATTATTCGGAAAGCTTGAGAATTAGTTTAGACAAAACGTACACAGAATTATGCAGTAGCAAACAAAATATTCAAAAGAAAAGGTCGCATCTCACTCAAATATGCAAATGAGACATGTCGTTGATCTCTCATGTAAACAATAACCTATTCACATTTACATTTGCAAACGTCCAAAATTTTCGCCATTAAACTTGGTAGAAGTTTCACATGCGTTATATCTTTTGATCTTTCCACAAGTATAAATCAGTACTGAATCATGCGGCAAAATAACATGTCTGCAAAAAAAAAAATTGTAACATGCAGCGCTGTCACGCATTCGCCAGCGAACACAAACTAGAATACCTTTTTTCCCCTGACATTTTCAAATCGCGTTTTCAAAGAGTATTCGAAACATTTCTAAGGGGTTTAGTGTTTCCACGTTCCAAAGAGTTTCAAAGCATTTCAAAAGGGTTTCCAAAGGGTTTCAAAGCGTTTCAAAAGGGTTTCAAAGCGTTTCAAAAGGGTTCCCACAGGGTTTCCAAAGGTTTTCCAAAGGGTTTCAAAGTGTTTCTAAAGGGTTTCCATAGGGTGTCAGAGCGACCTCGAACCCCCTAGAAAAGGCTATTGTGGATAAGACGTGTTTTCGTATGGAGGGTCAGAAATAATTCATTTAGGCAAGACAATAATATGTGGTGATTTTAACATTCATATGGACGTTCCATCAGATGCTGACGCCATCCGGCTCAAGGACCTGTTGAACTCTATGGGTCTGGTACAGCATGTCAAACAACACACGCACATACATGGCCACACCTTAGACTTAATTATCACACGGCAGGCTGACGATATTGTGGACGGTGAGCCCCTTCCTGAGAGATACTTCTCTGACCATGCTGCCGTGATATGTAAGCTAAGTGTGGCGAAGCCTCCGCTAAGAATTAAACATGCTGAATACAGGAAACTCAAATCAATTGATATAACTAAACTGAAAGAAGATATCCGCAATTCTCAGCTATATCAAAACCCGCCTAATGATTTGAACATGCTGCTCGACTGTTATAACACGACTTTAAGATCACTATTAGATGATCACGCGCCCGTTTGTTCTTGTCATGTCTCCACTCGACCCAGGCCCCCATGGTTCAATGAAGACATAATTCAGGCTTGTAGGGACAGGAGGAAGGCCGAGAGAAGATGGAGGGCAAGTAGTCTCCAAGCAGATCTTGTAGTATTTAAAGCTAAGTGAAATTATGTCATACATTTGACGAGGAAGAGTAATGAACATCACAATTGAGAACATAAATTATTGCATTCCCTTATACATGTAATACAGGCAGAATTGTTGGTGGAACAACCTAACAAAATTCATGTGCTGAGGATCACTTGTGATTGAGTAGCATCTCCTGTCAAGGCTATTCCGGTACATTTCTTGTCAAATCATGGAACACAAACCAGAGTTAAATTAAAGGCTTCCTGATCCACTAAATACAAACACAACTGTCAACTTAGGCAACAAACTCGGCCATAGTATCCAAGATACATGTACAAAATTTAGGCTTCCATGGATGTAAGATTACAAATCATGCAAGGCCTTTGCAGCAAGCCTGATTAGTGCTGCTAGAAAAGAGATGTATAGCTAACCTGTAGCAGATGCCATCAGATCTTTCACACAGACTTGTGATAACAGTTGAGCCGATGATGGCTGACTACAAATCAGAGCACTAACTGCCTGACCTAGGACCTTGAGTAAGGTTGTGTGGATGCTTGTTGCCATCTCCTCTGATATCAAATTGCTGCTGCCTCCTTTCGATTTAGCAATGCCTGCTCGACCACAAGCCACAAGCCTCATCAAATTAACTAATAGCTGTATATCATCAAGTCCCATGATTTCTAGAGCACAAGATATCATTCCCTGTGCAAGGTTATTGCATAGCACAGAAAGCACTTCTAAGACGAGTTCTCTTGATAGGTGGACCTGTGCAGCAACAGTTACTCTTCGGAGAGCTAATGCCCGGTCATGTGCTGAAGTGATTGCTGCAGCTTGTTCACCAAGGGGTTTTCTTGTTCCTTCTTCAGAGGACTTATTAACATGGGATATACCTGTATGGTATGCAATATTTCTATTAATGGCCCATCTGCCAAGAGGGTCATCCACTGCAAATTCAGCAGGACCAGGTACAGGTTTACATTCTGTTAATCCTAGCAAAGTGAATTTGTCTTTACTGTCCTCTTCATTTTGCGGTTTGTTTGGTTCAATACTGGCATCACCTATGTTGAGAAAAAGGGCAGTACAGACAAGTCATAAAAAAACTGAGTGACACTTACTTAACTTACCGTATTTCTTGTGAGCTGTGTTCCCAATGTCACAATAATTATGATATATTGATATCTTAAGGTGGCTCCCTATAGTTTTACGATGTCACGTGTGCTGAGGATGAAAGGTCAAATAATCTGCGCACGCTCAAAGGAAAATGTCAGTGTTTTTTGATATTTTATGACGTCAACATGAGCACAAAAAGCAAAACTGACAGTGAATTTTCTCTGACAATGAATTTTCCCTTCCGTGAAATTCCGTAACATTTGGCAGACTGGTAGTAAATATTTCACTTTAGTCAGAGCATGTTTTCAGGGAAATCTATGACTAGTTTTGCAAAAATTGAAAACAACAACCTGTACAAACCCTAATTTTTTGTGTTTAAAATTCGTATCCCGCAAAATGCAATGTGCTGTGAAAATTTTGGAAGATTTCACCAACGAAATCAAGAAAATCACAAGTACTGTACAGCTATTTAAAAAAGTAAAAAACATTAATTTTGTTTGGGCATTTATAATTCAAGACTAAAACCCCAAATTTTAACAGAGATGAGAGTAAAACACTATTTAATCATTGCTTATGACATGTAATAAGTTTGAGAGGACTGGGTGTAAAATCGAATGCAAAAACAGCATTCAAAACAACACTTGCGCACAAAACGCCATAAATGATCACCCTATGGAGCCACCTTAAAGAGTATCGAGTGGAGTACGCTTACAGTACATTTTCAGTGATTCTCACTTCAAATTGCGCTTTATGCCTTTTATAGAGAGAGAATGGGTGCCAAACCAAATGTATTCATGTATATACATGTATGGAAGCAATTTATACTTTTTTCTGGTTATGTAAAGTAATTTTGACAGTGTAAAAATATGTAAATAGTGGGAAAAATATACAGACATAAGTCACCATGCTCGTCTAGGAGTAAACAATCGTTTACAGGTATATCTCTCTGGTGAACTTACTGTCTACATTGTGATTATCCTTTATGTAACTTCAAGTTATTTCATGTTACTCTCCTTACTGAGTAGAATTCTACTCACGTACTGATGCAAATGCTTTTAATTTCCTGCACTTAAAGTCATGTCTTTTGAATAACTGAAAATTTAGTTCAGCAACTGTCTGCCAAGTTTATTTGGTATAGGTAATCACACGATTTTGAGTGCAATTGGTAATAAATAAGCATGAGTACATTTTTCAAAGGCCAACAATATTGCACAAGCTGTAGGGTGAGGTCATTTTGCAGTCTTTGAAAAATATACAAGCTCCTATTCTATTCCATATTGCACAATAATGATCATTTGATTACTATGATCTACATACATTGCACATAAGCATGAACAAAATTGATTTTTAGACTTATACTGCTTAACATTGATTTTGGTGAATTTTCAGACAGTTTTGGTTCTAAAAATTGTGCATGTGGATGTAAAATGATAGATTTAACCTTACCTTGCATACTTGTTTCACAAGGTCCTAGTAAATCTGGAGCGTCCAGCAACAGGCGAGCATCATCTAATGACCTACAAAAGGTTGATTATCAAGAATTTACATTCAGGTAGTTTGCTGTTCATTTCAGGGGTAGCTTGCATTTTGTGTTTATGTAAATTTCCTCTGTTTGTTCGTTCAATTCATTTGGTTTGGTGAAAATAATGCTCATTGGCAAACTCCTTTATATGACAACAGTCAACCACAAGCAATTGCAGGCAGGCTCTTCATCTGGATCTCCCGAGGGTCATTGCTCATCTAATTGTATCCTTGCGATCTCAAAGCTAAGCCCATTAGGCCTTTGCATGTAAAGGCATTTTTGCAATAACCGAGTTCAATAATTTTGATTTATCATTCAATCACCAATAATATTTGTTTTCTTACTAAAATTACTCCCTGACAGCTGAGGGGAGCAATCTGCCATTTTTCACCAGAGATCATAGTTACAATTACGCATAAGCAGAATGTTATTTCCAGCAAAACACATTTAGATGGTACTACGCATGAAGAGACCACCATTTGTAGGCAATTATTTGCAGGTCATGTGGTTGGCTCTCAGCCAATGAAAAAGAAGAACAAAACACATCGAATGATAATCCTTTTTATTTTCCAACTTAGCAAGAATATCCCCAAAAGAAAACTTACCAGTGCTTTGTTTAACCTTTTTCTATCTTTTGAGATGCCCAAATAATTTGATAATACAAAACATAGTGTTTCATAAATAGACAACATGAAATACAGCTTCCTCCAATGATACATGTAATTTACATGATAGTTACACGTATGAAGTGATGTCCATGAAAATTGAAGATTGCTTGTTAAGAAATGAATCTCACGAAAATTCATCTCGAAATAGAAACTGCTTTGAAAATTGATTTCAAAGTTATTTTTGTTATTGATATCTTAGCCAGTTCAAGCCAAAAATATAATTATATAGAGCCTATGTTTTCGCTAGTGTCCTGAGTTCTCTAGTTCCCACGTAGTGCTGTGTATCAGAAACCATGTGTTTACTGGTACAATAAATGATAGGTTTTTGACCAATCAGAGCATGTGTAGTGTGTCAGTTATTTTATAATACACAAGATGTGAGGGGTGACATCATTATTGTAACAGAGACATGGTCTTCACAGTGTTACAACTATTGCTACAGTGAGAGAGAGTGTTGAGGTTAAGGTGGCTCGAAATAGTTTTCATTTCCCCAAACAAGTTTTACAAATTCTCTTCTAAGTACAGTTTGGTTCATCGTACCAGTACGAAATTTACCACAGAAAATGAAAGAGACATCAGATTCATTTTATCATATTTTGTTTCCAAAACCTGTTACCATGGCAACCAGATGACGAATTTAATTGTGCACTAAAATTGGAATCCTATATTAGACGTATCAGGATTGATCCTCAAAATATTTAAGTTTAAAAAAACTTATGTCGAGCAGATGAAAGAAAAAAACTACTTTTTGACCATTAGTTTCTTAATTTTATTTCCTTCCTACAGAATTTTTTAAAAATCAGTATATATAAAATTATGCAGCCAATTGCTCTTACTCATCACTGAAAATTTCAAAAAATTTTACCAACCAGAAGCGGCAATATAGACGCGCAAATTAAGGAAATGAGGGAAAATTCTGAGTTGACTAGATCTGCATGCGCAAAGTTTTTCATGTGCTCAATCAAGTCCTCACACACAGAACAGTCAGCAAAGTAAGGGAATGACTGGATGTCACCTTCCAGCTGAAATATTTGTATTTTTTGATAATGGGAGATATTTTTCCATTTGATCTTTTATGGATTACAAGAAAAAGTGACAAAATCAGGCAGGTAAAGTTTGCATAAACGTGCCTCAATATCTATCTTTTTTTATGAATTTATTTATTTCATGCATAACAAATTACAACACACTATTACAACTATACTACTTATAAAGTGATACTTATACCATTTACAATACAGTACTAAAGCGACTTAAAGAAATATGAAACTACTTACAATACAAAACAATACTTATGCTACTAAGAACAATACTAATACAGTCCCTCCTCTATTAAGCGGCCACCCTTGGGACTTTGAAAAGTGGCCACTTAATAGAGGTTGGCTGCATAATAGAGGTACAATGTAAATTGAATAGGAATGGCAGTAAGCATGATTTTATTGACTCTCTATAGCAAAATGCTTTTAAAAAGTGAACATAATTATATGAAGATAAATCCAAAATTCATTGTAACAAAACATCAAGTGCATTTCAAGCCCATGCATAGTTCTAGCTCTAACACAGAGGGCACCTAGCTGAAATGTACAGCATTTCTTCGGATCGATAATATACAGAAAAAATTCAAAACATCATTGACAAGTTTCTTAGGCCTTTTTGCATCAACAGTTAGTATGCGAAAAAATTTAGCTCCAGATATTTGACGGACAATTCATTTAAAATAATCCGTCAATACTGTTTGCCGTTTCGGGGCA